GAATTTCCAGAATAAAAATGAAAAACATGAATGAAAATCTTTCAAATTTGTAATTCTATAGCGAATAGAATGTCCGATTGGAACCATACTATGCACAATCCATTATCTTTACCAAGCCTAGATCAAGTCCGAAGAGGAAACACACACTGATTTGAACCAATCTTTGCACAACCTATTATCTTTACCAATCCTAGACAAAGTTCGAAGCTTGGTTATTTTTATTTATTTATTATTAAATAAGTTACCAGAATATACAATGGCCTTTACTTTAAATAATATTTTTAATGAACTCATTCCAAATTGGTCCCAAAACGTAACAGAAAAAAATAAAGAGATACATTTTAAATTGTGCCATTTTACCGTGATAATACAAAAATATGTTTATTTAGCAGATTTTCTTAATGTTTTATATATTTTCCGAAAAAAATTGTATGACCAATCGTAATATTCAATTACAGGCATTGACAATTCGTTTTCTATAACAATTTGTAATATAAATAGTTGTTGTAATTCATGCATACACCTTGGTACAAGCAATAGATAATTGGTATTATTGGAACGACATGCATTTTTTAATGGTAATATTTGTATGAATGGAAAATATCACCACCATGCTAAAGAATGGTACTTGCAAATATGTGATATTTATTATGGACAAAAAATTGGATCTCTGGTCCATAGTTGGCTGTAGAAAAAATCTTTTAAAGAAACAATAATTGGGAGTAGACAAAATATGTTCTTAAATATAACTTTAAATTCATCAGCTATTACCATTTCGACAAAAAAATACATTTCTATTATTTTTGGGAGCACATAAATCATAAAACATATAAATCCATTGTATATATATTTTTTCCCAAAACTTTAAAAAATAATATTAAACTAATGTACACAACAAACAATTTATAAATTTGATAGAATAACATAATTAATTTATAAATATATATGTAAATAAATTCATAGTCATAGTTTTTTTGTGTATTTAAATATATATATATAGTATTAAAACAAATAAAATAAATACGAAACTTAGATAAATTAATACTTAAAAATGGTTTAAAAAAACATGCTAAATTTGAATACGAGTTTTTGGATTCTTAAATAGAAACCAAATTAGAATCCATAGATGAAGATTGCAACAAGGTACGAAATGCATTTAAAAGTGTTTATTTTAGAGAAAATCATGAAGATTACAAATTCACAGCCAGAGATAAGTTTGAACATCAAAAAATAGAAAAAGTAATCGAAATAATGACGCTTAAGGTTATATTACAAATCCTTCACTATTTCAATATTCGAATACCACATTCGTAGAGATGGTATTTACCGGGTAAATACCCAAGGGGTGGGTTAATACCGGGTAAATACCCATTTTCGGGTATAGAATGGATAGTTTTACGATACTTTAAAGACGTGGGTAAATACCCGAGTATTTACCCAAAAATTGGGTATAAACTCATTAACTGCGGAACCACTTGACATAGGCGGCCAAAATTTTACATACATGTTTTTAATGTCAAAGCAAATATAGAAGTCCAAAATGGGGTCCCTGGGTCCAAGTTTTGATATAGCCCCCATATAACAGTATCTCCCGATTTGCTGTAATTTGGCACAGAGTGTTCTTTTTGGGTACCAAATGTCCATGCAAAATTTTATGGATGTAGGTCCACGTTTACTGGTAGCCCCCATACAAAGGTACCCCTATTTTGAGTATTTACCCAAAAATTGGGTATAAACTCATTAACTTCCGAACCACTTGACATAGGCGGCCAAAATTTTGCATACATGTTTTTAATGTCAAAGCAAATGTAGAAATCCAAAATGGGGTCCCTGGGTCCAAGTTTTGATATAGTTATTGAGCTTCCTCCAACTAATTTACAAATCTCTATATCTCTATCTCTATATTATTATTATATATATAAAAATTACGTGTATGTTCGTGATCGCTAAACTCAAAAACTACTGTACCGATTTTGACCAAATTGTATGTATAGGCTCTATGGGGAGTGAGGAGTGTTTCTGTGTAGTTTGAAGTTCATACAACAGATGGCGCAATATTTTTTTTTTGCATTTTTGCACCGTAACTCAAGAACTACTGCACCGATTTTGACCAAATTGTATGCACAGGCTTTGTGTTTGATTTCAAGTTCGTCCGACATATGGCTCTCTATATATTTTCTTTGAGTTTTGCCCGATTAGAGATTTGGTGCTTAATCGACGTTAAGTATTCCGCCACCAATTCATACATAACATGTTTCGTGAATAGCGCGTGGAAGTCAAACAAAAAAAAAATTTTCACATTGAAGTAAAATTAATTTAAATCTACTTATAAAAATGATGTAAAAAACGTATAGTAACTCATCAATATGAGAATGGATGGACGATTTAACTAAAAATTTCTTTCAGTTATCTGCAATTGAAGTGGGAAGGTTTTTATGAAAGAAAATTTTGCGAAAAATACTCAAAAATCTTTGAAACACATTTTTAAGGAACGGCTGGACTGATTTGCCTACTATACCGACAATTTACAGAGAAGTACATACTAAAATTTTTTTTTCAGTTATCCGTAATTGAAGTGAAAAGGTGAAAGAAAGAAAGATTTTTTTGAGAAAAAAAGGAGCGGCGGAACCGATTTGTCTATAATTATGTGGGACATAAAATGATACTATGCCGACAATTTACAGAGAAGTTCCTTACCCTACATTAAATACCGAATTAAAGGCAATTTATAGGGTATTTGTTACTACTTTCAAAGTACTTAAAATCAGACTATACAAAATATGGACCAAAGATAAGGAGACTAATTAGGAATAGAAACCTGCAATATTTGGGAAAAAATGTCAATACATATACATACGTTATTATGTTTAGGATATACCAAAATGTACATTTAAAATGTTAATTGCTACAAAAGATTACAAATACCTCAACAATTTAGCTAGCTTTGGAAGGTATTATTGAAAATTTTCTTAAACTCGCGAAGTATATATATATATATATAAATTCGAATCCGACATGGAAAAAATTGCGCATTAGATGTTCTTAGTGTCTAACTTATATGTGCCTTTATTGTTTCTCAAATATATTTTTCATGATGTGAAAAAGGTTTCCATTGAGAATGAATGCACCAATTTGACTCACATTTTCCTACGGCTATTTTTAATTTCAATGGAAAGAGTTTTACTAAGTTATGTCTTGAGGTAAGAGTAGTTATATCAAAACTTGACCTTCTCCTGAAAAATGTTTGGTGGAATAAGTTCGACAAATTGATAAACTGAAATATCACACATACTGACATAATTTAATATTTAACAATAACAATATTTCTTCAAATATTGGGGTATCAGTAAATGAAAGTTTACCGTCGTGAGGAAAACATTATGCGTATTTTTTATATTGGAAATTTGACATAAATTAAATGTAAATAGTTTCTGAAATATATTTTTCAGGAATTCGTTAATTTTTACTAAACCTAAATTGATGCAATTCTGATACGGCAAAACAACGTTTGCCGGCTCTGCTAGTATGTAAATAAAATTGTATTATTTATTTCTCGAACCACATTTTTTATTTCTAATGTTATTTTCAGAAAAATGTTGAACATTCCCAACTCTAAACCAGTGAGCGGAGCGGTATAGTCGTACGGGGCCAACCATATGATACCCTCCACAACTACCACGAAAATATAACTTTCTGTTATTCTATATTCTGAGCTTGGTCTAGAGTTCAACAAATATTGCTATTCAGTACAGCCTTTCTAATTACTTGTCGAAAAAACAAAAAAATAAGTTTTCGGTCCACTGCATCCCAATATTATCATTATCGAAAATTATATGCGTTGTCCTTGACCATACCAGGATCCTCATGGAAAATTTAAAGCGATCAGTGCTATATTTCCGGTAATGGGTTACTAAATATATGAATACGTAAGTACCTGTTAATATTTAAGTGTAACTCCCACATCCGAGTACATACGACAATATAATTGGTATAAATTTAAAGGCCAATCACTTCTCTTGGATATACTATCAACTTCTCGGGTCTATGTCCTTCAGGGGAAAATATATACGCTTTAGAATACAAATTTTGAAATTGTTCACACAAAAGTCAGGGTCCATTTGACCCGCTAAATATTGACTGATCTTTATCAAAACAGGCATGCTTATTCTTTGGCCCGATCCCCTTCTCTATGTAAAAATTCGCGATGTTTGCGTCATAATTGCGGTCTCTGGAGCGACCAGAAAATCGGACGAAAATAAAGTATTTGGTCCATTTCACCCCCTAAATATTAACCGATCTTTGTCAAAAACAATAGGGGTTTTCATTGGCCAGAACAGGTCCGTGTTTACAAATTATAAGGGACAGACGGACGGACGGACACACATGTCTAGATCGACTCAGCTAGTCGAGATATGACGATCGGTGTACTTAAAGGTGGGTCTAGGACCAATATTTCGCGGCGTTACAAACTCTTGGGGCTGCACAAAGCTATAATACCATGACAACATAGTTGTGTAGCTCATATTTCTAATTTAAAAATAAAATCCTGAACAAGTTGAATATGGGAGCAGGACTGGGATCTATCTGATTCCAGATAGGGGTTGGTATACTGATTACGCCAAAAAAATATATATACAGTGGTGGTCACCTAATTAGCACACACATGGAGAGAAACATGTTTCGAAACATATGTAGGGTAAATCCACTTTTTTCGAAAGATAGGACACAGAAGTTCGAAAAACAAATATTTTTAGTTGTTTATATTTATATGAATATACTGTCCTAAGAAATTTATTACACAGGTATGTGAAAAGTCACAATTATTGAGATATGAAAATTTATATCTGATATCGGAAATTTATTTCGATTATTATACTCAATTTATGACATCAAAAGTATTTGTTTATTTTCGACTTGCATATAAATCTCAAACATACATTCTTACACTGTGAGAAATGCAAATTGATGTGAATGAAAACATCTCGCCAAAATTGAAGTTTTTAACCACTATGGTAAACAATTACCAAATGAAGGAAGTTATCGGGGTAGCTTAGGTGTTCGGACATCCACTGCAGATGAGTTTCGGTGTGTATAACGATTCCATGCGTTTTTACTCCAACTGTAAATACATGAAAACAACATTTATCAATGTAGTCTTATCATTTTTGTTTTCAATTTTAATCATTTTAACATATGTTTGGCATAATTTAATGTACCGCGAATTTAGCGGTTATACTATAACCGAGAGTACTGTGTGTTTCTCGTACTCCATTAACCAAGATTTAGGTGAACAAATAATACATACCTGCCTTTCGTTCAGGTGTAGACAATTCTTCCAGCAAATCTTTCACGGTTTTCTTTTTCCCACTGGCTGTGATTGGAGACACAAGTTTCTGCATGTAAGTACCATCCTGCAATTGCGAAAGCAAATTAAAAATAATATAATCAATGGACTATCAATTACACAACTCTTGCAACAACATACATATGTATATATGTATATTGCCATTTTGTAAAATTTCAAAAAATTATGAATTTGTCGATGTTTTATTGACGCAACGTGCATAAGATTTGTATGCGCAACCGATTTTGGATAAAATACGCATGTTATTCGCGTATCGATGTATTTTTGATCTATATTCACACAGATTCGCGAATATGATAATACAAACATGAATGTATGTAAAAACAATTCGAAGAAAAACGCGATTTTATACACGAATTTGTCAAAATAGGTTTTTGCAGTTTTTCCTATGTACCTATATCCGCCGTTTTATTGGGCGGAATTGTAAATGACTGTGCTCATTAGATTCGGCACGTTGGCACGGGGTCCAACGGCATTTGAGTGGACTCCTTAAATTTAAACAAAAAAATCGGTTTTTTTTTATAAAAATTTACGCACCAAATTTTCGACTTTGGAATCCAATTTCAAAGAAGCTACGGCGAGCACATTCATGAGATATACATATACTAAACGACGCAAAATCACGAGCATTTAAGTGGACGCCTTAAATTTAAACAAAAAAATCGGTTTTTTTTTGTAAAAATTTACGCACCAAATTTTTGACTTTGGAATCCAATTTCAAAGAAGCTACGGCGAGCACATTCATGAGATATACATATACTAAACGACGCAAAATCACGAGTTCTACAATCCTATAATCAGTTTAGACCATTAATTAGTTGCGCGTCCTGATTATAAGTAAAATTAAAAAAATAAACACCGAAAACCCGGCTTCAAAATGTCAGCATCCGTTTTGGGTGGATGCAGTAAATATATCGAAAAATAATACATTAGAACCATATTCTTCAACTTATTCCCTGATCACATGTGTGTGCGTTGTGTAGTTTAGCCACAAATCAGGAAAGAACACAAAAAAACTTGTTTTCAACACACTTCCATAGAGTAGCCGCGGAAAGCGGGTCTAAGGGGAGAGTTACACCTGTTTCGCGACCTGGTGCCATGTCAAGGCACCAGCTGGGGACTACTTCAACACTGCCTTAAATGACATTAACAAACAATGTAAAGCACTAGACGTATGGGGCATATGTCGACCACACCCTCAGTATGGAGGGTGTGGTCGACTATGCTGACATATGAAACAATGGGATGCGGACCTCTCTTGGCGGAAGCTCCCATTTCTGCGTTGGCCGATGAGCCAGAACATTCGAGGCTAATAACCACCGAAGACAAAGCGATTTCTTCTTATTTTCACGCTACTTTCTACATTCTGCTTCTTTCTCTTATCTCCTGTCATCACATACAAAGTGGGGAAGACAATAACCGTTGTGAACGAGTAACCAACCAAATGAAGTAATCGAGATAAATATGCATTAGTTGAAAATTTATCTGAGAAATATTCTTACCCAGAGAAACTTTCCCCTCTTAGTAAGCAAAATTGCAGGAATGTTTAATTTTTATTTGAGTTTCTGTCTGTAATAGCGATGATGATTTATTATTTATTATGATTTAAGTCAGAAAATTTAACATAAATTATACAATGTTGCAGATCATCGCTCTTACAGGCAAAACCTCAATTGTGATACTAGCTTGATAATATTCTAGATTCTCCATTTTCGAGTTTAATTTAGCCTGGAAGAAATATAACGACGTATAAATTTTGGATAAAATCAGAAACTACTTTCGAGAGTTATCTTCTTCTAGGCTGCGTGTATAAAAATTGAGCTCATATTTAAAAATTGGAACAATTTCCATTAAAAAAACTTAAATTATCTGGTATGAGTCAAATTGGATCACTTTCGTAAATGTATAAGCTAATAAAAGTATATAATCTTTTTTTATAACATACAAATTTATAACCTCGTATTTTAAACAATGTTCTTATTTATTACATATTGAATATGTAATATTAATCATGTACTTGAGTAGTTAGTAACTTGCCAAACAATAAAAAATATTGTTGTATTTCCTTGATCTTCATTGGAATTCATATTCGCTCATTGACTATGCATTAGTAAGTGATGTTGGCGCAATTTCTAAGAGTATTCAGTTTAATTTCCCTGTGCTTAATTCCAATCACGCGTTTGCCCTTTTGCAGTACAAACTACGTACAATCAATGAAAGACAATATGTAACATTTCGTGATTACAATTCAATAATATGTGATAACTTTTTTTATGTGATTTTTGTTGACCTTTGATCTTTAAGTTTTCCTTAGACTTTCATTTTGTTCGGCTCGAGGTCGTTTTTAATAAAACAAATTTTGCTTTATTTAGCGTTTTTTTATTTTGTTTCCGATATTTCGATCGTCTTCGACGATCATCATCAGGGAATTGTTTTGTCTTAAATTGAAAATTTATATATATATATATAACAAAAATGTAACAAATAATAATTATATTATTTTATTCACAAACAGTATTCTTCTCGTAACACCTTCATTTCTTCACAAGAGTCATCTAACTAAATTTTATTTCTAATTTGATGTTTTTCTATTACATTCCGGTATATTTGGGCACAGTTCCCCGTATCTGTTTTAAAATTCATTCTCTTTTTAGCGGGAACATCAATTATGTGCAGCATTTCCATCATATATCTTCTCTTATAATTTCGTTCTTGTGTCAATATCTTCACGTCTTTGAAATTTGGTGTATGTCCACTTAAAGTGCAATGTGCTGCAAGTGCTGTTTTTTGCTCCAAAGGTTTGTTTTTTTCTTTTTGGTCGGATTTGTGAGCACTAAAGTCTAGTTTTCAGCTTCGTTTTTGTAGTACCAACATATACCTATTGGCATACGTTGGACTCGCCTCCATTATATCCAATTTGGTATACTACATTCGATTTATTGTCCGTTGGAATTTTTGCCTTTGTCTGACTAAAAAAGTTGTTGTTGTTGTAGCAGCCCTATTGCTTTTACACAATGGGCTGAGGTGACATACGTTGGCCGAGTAGGACTCGGGTTGTTTCGGATCGTAGGCCCCACTGTCGTGGAAACGTAAAAAAAAGTTGTTGTTGGTATTGCTGCTTTTTAATGCTAATTGGTATTTTCCTTTGTCATACACATTTGAGTTTGAAAATCTTTCTGAGAAACCTTAAATGTATGACGACCTCTTGTAAATTTTTGGTTCCCTATCATGGCGGTCAACCTTTTTAGATTTTGTTTTTCGAATTAAATCATTAATGGTTTTGTTTGGAAAATCATTAATTTTCAATATTTTACGAATTTTTCTCATATTTTTAGCGTGAAATTTGCAATCGGTAATGTCCAATACCCCTTTTATGAAATTTTTGGCTGTGTTTATTTTTATTTGTTTGCTTTGAATGAAAATTTATTATTCTTCCTGCAGCAGTGGGTTTTTGGTAATAATTTACCATTTCTCTGTGCACTGTGTTTTTATTATTTGACTCACATTCCATAGTGAATCGCAATTGTTTATTAAATTCGTTTAATGTCCTTAATGTATTATCTATTTGGCTTTTTTTAACAATACAAAATATGTCATCAACATATTTTGTTAGTATCCTTGGTTTTGTATTCCATTTTTGTATTCTTACGTGTACATTACGATGTCTGCAATGTGGGAGAGATTTTTGCCTTTTTGTTGTTCATAAATTTTATCTTTGTATAAAAAATATCTCGAATCTTTGATACATATCGTCAAAATTTCAATAAACAGCTCCATTGGTATTTTGGTATGTTGTTCTATTAGTATCCACCTGTTCTTAATAGTTTTTATAGCGAGGTTTACTGGCACACTCTTCTAAAGGATATTAGTATTTCTGTCGTCAATGGTTTGATTGTTGATCCTTGATTTGAATTCGACTGCATCTTTAATGTTGTATTTTGAGTCTTTCGTTATGTGTTTTAAAATTGTTGCTATATATTTAGATATTTCATAGGTTGGAGAATTAACGCATTCCATACCCTAGGTGCAACAGTGTTTTTGTCGGGTTCAATATATTTTTGCAATTGTTTATTAAATTCGTTTAATGTCCTTAATGTATTATCTTTCTGATTTGCAGCTAAACTATTTGAATAGCACATTGCAATATCTTTTTGAAACCCATGTACCTGAAAAAACTAGATTAATTAGAACAAATTCAAATCGATGGTTCAATCGGCCAGAAGTTCTTTCTGCTATCAGAAATAGGGACTTAGCTTTTAGTGCCTTTATTGAGAATTCTACAGATCACAATAAGCAGTTGTATAAGAAATATAAAAATATTGCTCGTAAAATTGTTCGACAAGCCAAGCGTCAATTTGGTAAAAGTATATTTAGTAATATTGATAATCCTCGTACTTTGTGGTCTAGGATTTCTGATTGTGGAGCGACACACTGTGATATAGATTTAGATCATTTAAATATTTTTTTCATCTCCAATAATGGTGCTAATATTACTATTTCTGATAACACTTCTATGACTATGCCTCGTTCTAATATTTCCAATTTTCGCAATGTCGACATATTTGAGCTCACTAGTGCAATATATAGAGTTAAGTCCAATGTTATAGGCTTCGATCAAATTCCGTTACGTTTCCTTAAACTTGTGTTTCCTCATTTGCAACATAATTGTTTACAACTTTACTGAAAAAAGGCGCTACTGGATTAAACTGTGCCCATTATCGCCCAATTTCAATTCTACCCGCACTGTCAAAGGTTCTCGAAGTTTTGCACAAAAACCAAAAAGTTTCCTAGTATATCAGGCATTTTAGACCTTTCTAAAGCTTTTGATTCTATCAATCACTGCATTCTCCGCTCCAAGCTATTTAATATTTTTAATTTTTCTCTACAGTCTTGCAATTGTATACGACGGTAATTCTTCGTCAGATTTTCCATAGGGCTCAATTTTAGGTCCACTCCTTTTTATGTTATACGTTATGTTTGTGAATGTGTTCAGCATTCTGCTTTGAATATATATGCGGACGATTTCGGATTGTTTATGTCTAGTCCATGTCTTGACATAAATGGTTGCATTTCTGCACTTGATAGTGTTATTAATCGAATTTGCAGTTGGGCTTCACGTAACTGTATTAATATCAATGTAGATAAAACAAAGTTAATTATTTTCCAAAGTGGTCGTGATTTACCTATTCAGCGAAGTATACCCGTGCATGGGAAATCAATTAATTCTTGGCAGTCTGTGACTTGTCTTGGCTTTGATATTGATTGTAATATAAAATGTTCAAAAGATAATTTTTGCCACAGGTGATTGTACATTGTGAACAATTTTTTACCATTCCACATTAAATACAAACTTGGGCATGCTTTATTAATGTCTGTTTTCTATATGGAATGGAGGTTTATTCTGGCACTGATAACACCCATTTACACAGGTTATGTAGTCGTTTTCATAGTGTTTTAAAATACGTTTATGGGAAACACTGCAATCGTGACTATAATCTTTATGAAAAAGAGTTTCTTCGATGTTCTTTTGATGACTACTTCATGTTCGATGCTTATATTTTTTTCTTTAAAACCATGAAATATGGTAACCTAACTATATTGCTGATAATTTCCGATTTTTGCATTCTAGCAGAAATTCTCAAATTCTTTTTGAACGCTTTGAGAGTCTGGTCCTGGAACGTTCTTTTGCCGTTCGCATTGGTAAGTTGTGGAACCAGCTTCCCCCTGGATTGAAAAATTTCTCAATCTCACCACATAATTTGAAAATTAAATTGCTGCAATATTTTTGTCCTTTGGAATAAAATATCTATATATCTGGCTCGATTACAGCATCGAGTTACATTTACATTACGGTTTGTTAAGCATATATGTAAAAATTAGAAAACTGTGCGTTAGGAAATTTTTAGTTTGTAATTTTATAAGATACTTTATTATACGCCTTCTATCAATTTGTAATCCAATGAGGAGTTTTTTGATTAATAAATTGAATTGAAAATTACATTTAATTTAAAGCATACAATGACCATCGGCCTTACAGGCAAAAACTCATATAAAAATTATTCATGCTGAGCACGACTGGGATTCGAACCTAGGTTCCCAGAGCAACATAAATGTAGCCACTTAGCGTTTAAACCTTTAAAACAGTTCCGAAGTTTGCACAAAAAACATGTGTATACCATATACTGTTTTGAAGAGGACTGCTTCTGAAGAGAAGACAAATGTCCAATATTGATAAATTTGAAATTAATTTAATTCGCAGATACAACTTCGTAATAACTGCAGGAGGTGAAATACAATCATACAAACAAGGAAATGTTGTTTTTTTTTCATAACATGAAACAACATAAAAATTTAACGGTCAAAAACTTGGCATATATAAACAAATTTCACTATTTACCTCATTATAAAATCTTGCAGGGGCGTATTTAAAGCATTCCTGTTCACCATTGAGTTCCATTAATCTGCGATTAATAGCCCAAAATTGGTCGAATTTATCATTTACCAGTCCAATCCACAATTGGTTGTGTTCCTTTTTTTGCATCGAAGATATAACTTGACCTCTATGCTTTAGAACGTCTGCTTCTTTTAAGCACGACATATAATAAGATTCCAGCAAGTCTCTGAAAAAGAAAATGTTGGTTATAATACATTTACAAAGCTATTGTAAAAACATATTGCTATATGCACATAAAACTGATAAAAATAAATTAAAAAGATTCCACTGTTTCAAATGCGTCCATACGAACGTCAGGTTGTTAATCATAAAAAAACATCTTGCCAACATCACAAGGATTTTTAAACCGATCTCATTCCAATTGTTTATCAAGTTGGAATAGTCGACTGACATGAATGTTAAAATGAAAGAAATAATAAATGTCCCCATAAAAATGGTATGTGGATATCATATACTATCACCGTCAGAAATGGATAAATAACCTAATAATGGTTCCTATAACATATAGTATGGTAGATATCACATACCATTTAATAACATCCAAAATTACAATACCCAAAATTCTGCAACCAAGAATCTTTTATTATTCCAGAACTGCTAGAATGTACTAATTTTTTACTTTTTCGATAAAATAACGAAAAAATTGTATCTTCTTCAATTTAAAACTATGAAAAGTTTACCCCTTTCTGAGTACAGGTACAGACAATTAGAAGCACTTTTTGTGTCTTTTTTGTAAACAGAATGCACGTCGCATTTATTAACAGAATGAAATTAAATTTGGAATTTGAGCCAAGGGAAATTGTCCAATTTAAATTGCTAAGAATCGGATCAGATTTAGATATATTGTGGTCAAACCTATGACCGATTTGTGTACAAATTTATTCTCACCATTCCACTTTGTATTCGGTGCAATTATCGAGAATATTTATGTTATATATCTGCCAAAAAATATTAAGTTGTGTTTTATATTACATCGGGTTGTATTCGAAGATAGATTCGATTTGAGAAACGTATTACTTCAAAAAATAATCTCATTTTTATATCTAAGAGGATACGGCTCATAAAATCTCGGTTTAAAAATGTTCCAACCTCCAACCATTTTTTATATGGCAATCTACAGTTTCAAATTGATTAAAAGCTTTGAAAAAATGTATTGCCTGTCATCATATATAAATAAGGAGATATTTCCACATAGTCAATTTCAGTTGCAAATGTTTTGGCCACCACTGTATATATATAAATATATATTCCTAGGGATATATATATATATATATATATAAATCTCATTTAATTTTACTACAATACTACAAATAGTATTCCTATCTAACGGGAAATGAAACGCTACCAACTTTCGCCCAAAACAGCTACGACGTAATGTAATCATAATAGCTCGATAAAAATTCGCAAAATGCTTCATATTTTTTTAGAAAATTTGGCAGATTTTCACGATTTTCGATTTGTGCATAACCAGACCATATAGCATTCTAAATTGGCAGGAAATCTTTTTATTTATATAAGATGTAACGTATATGTATATAAAATACAGTGCCGCTCCCTCGGGGAATTTGTGAAATATAAAAAATATATGCAAAAACAAATTTTTGCTAGCGAAATAAGTATGATGAGGCCTTTACAGAAACGACATCTATAATATCAAATCAATTAAATTCCAACGGTGTTAGAAAGAGTACATGTCTGGCTCTCGTATGAACTGGGATTATTGACTTCGCTCTAAAATTAATAAAATAGCGGACCTTTGAAAAAATATTTTTGGAAAATCGCCGATTTTTGACCAAAAACCAAGTTAAAAAATAAGGAAGATCTCCACCGATTGGCTTTATCCTAGCTCATACGATAGCTATACACTCACAGAGAAACGTGTAAAAAATTGGAATCGTTTGGGTTATTAGTTTTTGAGTTATCGTGCCCGCCATTCGCAAAAGAGAAAAACGCGTTTAAAGTTTGAGAAGCCCTTTAGCCGTCACTTGATGCTCACACAATAAATCGGCTATATTTTCAAGAGTTCTTGAGATTTTCACTTGAAATTTTGTAGGGACATTCTTGAATTAGTGTAAATTCGAATAAAATAAAAAAATGACCCCGAGAATGGGGGGTCCCCTTAAAGGCAATTTGTTACTATTTTCAAAATACATAAAATCGTACTATGCCAAAATATGGACCAAATATAAGGAAGCTTAAAACGCACAATAATGGTGAGCCAATTTTTTACATTATAAAACCAACACATGGGGTATATCCCACACGATATCTGAATCATTGGCTGAAACTTGAACGTATTCTAAATAAGAAATAAACCCAGCTTTATTTGTGAAAAATATCAATACATATACATATGATATACCAAAATGTCCATTACAAATACCTCAAGAATTTAGAATTTTATTATATTCGGGAAGTATATCGCCCATTTGCTGCAAGACAGGCATAACTCAAAAAAACGATTTTGCAGAAAATGCGTTTTAGGTTTTCAATTTACTCACGCCTTATATGGGACATCGCACAAGATTTTCACCTTTGGATGAGAATTACTCTGAAGATGTGCATACTACATACACAAAATGTATATCAAATTACTCAGATTCGCAACTCCAAAAATGTTATTTTTAGAAATTCCTGTTTGCGTATTAAAGTAAAAGTAAAATTCAAAAAATACCCAAAATCGAGCTTCAAAATGTCAGCATCATTTAAAAGTAGATGCAGTTAGAATTTTAAAAACTGATACATAATATAATATAATGATAAAATGATACAGAAGAGACTATTTTGTAGGCTTCTACTTTTACTTTGACACGAAAACCATGAAATGAGTTGTTTAGTCACAAATCGATAGATAAAAAAAAACTGGTTCGCCTCAACCTTTTTTTTACACATTTTTTTACATTAAAGTATACACAGCTTCCACCCAAATTAAGTTTGGAGGTCAATATCATGAAAAGTTGGCAACGACAGATCAATTAACCCAAAACTATTCACTTTTTCATATACATAAGTAAATCCCGAGTTATAAAGGGGTGAACCTCGGCTTTAGCTATGTTAAAAAATTGACAATATTGCCAATTTTTTAATATTCCATTTTCAAAAAATCAGCTTTTCGTTTTTGTGGTACATTAATGATTTTTGGTATACGTATAGAGAAAAATGTTCTGAATCCGAAACCGTTCGCGATCAAATTTTTGGTTGATGCGCGCAAAAGTTGTCGAGGTTTTAATTTTGGGCATAAGAAAGAAATCTTCAAATTACGCCGTTTATTATATTGACCAAAAACGTTGATATATATATTCCTCCGTAAAATAAGAATATGACTATATTATAATAATCGCGAAAAAGTTGCACATCTTCGCGAAATATGAGAAAAATAATAAAAATATCGGAGATTACGTCAATATTTTCATTATATTAATGACATACACACACCTAAAAATTATTTTAATATCTACATAATCTAAACACCATGATGAATCAAATGATATCAAAATCACAAAAGTCCGTGTAGCGGTTTGTAACTTACAGCGATAACAAAACAAGATATCGAGGTAAAATATTTGTTTTTGGTTTGAAAAAATAATGTCATCATATTTATTTTTTAATTTTATACAAGAAATTTCAGAAAAAATTTTGTGGTTATTCTGCTATTTTACCCGAATTTCGCCGAAAATTTACATATTTAAAAATATTCACTTTTTGTGTATAATTATACGCCTTGTGGATTATATCAAGACCCTTCCGATAAATATTGGGGTTCTATAAATTGGAATAAATCTTAAAATAAAATAATATTATGAAATATACATTTTAAATTGTCTCTAAATCGCGTAATTCTCAAAATCATCAGGAAGTACTGAAGTTTATCTTCCAATCCATATATATTTTGCGAAATTTCACTTGACGGCTAAGATGTACTACATGTTGCATTTAAGTACCCAAAAACTCGTAAAACCGATTTCAACGCGGTCCATTAAGAACCATGGATGATCCAGCACAATCTATTTTTGAGATAAATTGGGTACATCTCTCTTTCGGCTGAAATTTCGGAAATTATTCACAGAAAACGTAAATAAACCCGCGATATTTTCAAAACCATTTTTTGCCAAATTTCCTGTTTTTGGAAGGCCAGTTCCCGCCGTTCTAGTAGATGGATTTTCACGAAGAAGATTTTATGTCATCCAAAACGTAAAAAACCTTACTGATCGCGGGTACCCGTATCATTCAGTTGACAGATCTACAAATTTGACACGAAAAATAGGTTTTTTTAGAAATTTGATCGGACAAAATTTTCACCTTCGGATGAGTATTACTCTGAAGCTGTGCATACTACATACACAAAATATATAAATTACTCAGATTCGCGACTACAATAATCTTGTAATCGATTTTTAGAAATTCCTGTATGCGTATTAAAGCTAGAAGTAAAATTCATTTAAAGGTAGATGCAGTTAAAATTTTAAAAAATTATACATAAGGGGCGAAGTCCCCATTTTGTTGGCTTCTAGTTTTACTTTGACAAGAAGACAGTGAAATGAGTGGCTTAGTCACAAATCGATAGAGAACATAAAAAAATTGGTTCGCCTCAACGTGTTTTTACACATTTTTTACATTAAAGTAGACACAGCTTCCACCAAAATAAAGTTTGGAGATCAATATCATGAACATTTTGCAACGACAGATCAATTAACTCAAAACTATTCACTTTTTTCATATAATTTATAAAGGGGTGAACCTCCGCTTCAGCTATGTTAAAAAATTGGCAATATTGCCCATATATTTCAAGATTATTTTATATTTATAGAATCCCACGATTTATTTGAAAATCTGGTTATGCCAGTTTTTATGTGAAAAAAAGGGTAACTCCAATATTTTCCGAAAGTTATTGTATTAAATTGTATAATAGGGGATAGGGGGCACCTTTGAACAGCGCTCATAAAATCTCGGTTTAAAATTTTTCCGACCCGCTACCACTTTTTTGTACATGACAATCTTGTTCTCTATCTGCGAAAACCGCTTTAGCTAGCGTTTTCAGTTGTCGACATAATGTACATGCGTGACCATGTTTTCCCAGAGCCATTGTAATCTTTTATTTATTCTTTTTTTGTAAGGGCGCAGGGAGAATGGGTGGCGTAGGGGATGATAGATACCAAGCAACGGCTC